AAAATGAAAACAAATAAACAGTAATGCTGGTGTGAACGTTTGAATGCCGGCCCAATGAGGGCTGGAAGGATAATTAATTCGTAACAAAATATCCTTGTACAACTGTATGAGGATGGTAGCTTAAAAATATTTGAGTATAATATCAATTTAATATTACATAAAATGTCCGTTTGTACTTTTGCGTTTTTAAAGAATTTAATACCCCTGAATTCCTAAAGTTTTTCCCAGTGTAAATGAAATGACTATATGGTGTTATCGTATAAATACACTGTTTATTTTTCTGGGATATTTTTATCCACAGAGAAGACGTGTGTATCAACACATTATCATTGATTACTATTAAACGGTCATTGACTTGTCCTTTGTTTACACAGAAATTAAACAATTCGAACAAACAAATTTTGAAACTATAAATTGCTTTCTTGTCCTTCTTAAAATAATCTCAACATTTGGAGATTACAGGCCAGACACTTAATCGGCTTTTAAATGAATGGAGATTTGTCGTTGCCGCATATAAATGTCTGTAGTATTTGTCAAGTCATTAGGAATTCACATCGGTCCTTAAATAGATTGACAGGGCATTATACAAATGGTTTTAACATGACCCAAAGCATAATAGTCTGGAGATGTGTTTTTAAATTTCTACTTAATGTTTCCATTTTTTTTTTTACATTTACTATTTTCATAAATTTTCTGTAAGCATTTTAGTTATGGAGTCGGCTCTCGAAATCGTCGTCATCACGAAGACATTAGGAGTATGCAAAAAGATAAAAGGCAATCTTGAAAACGACATTTATTTTTAGTTATTTAATTTCTTTAAGTTTGATTGTCAATTGAAGTGATTTATAAATATAATAGTTTTAGACCTCATATAAATGTACTCCCAATATTCGGTATTTTTAAGCCTTCGGACGCGGTTTCCGTACGAAATGGCTCTTATTTGGTATTTTTGGTTCTCACTGGGTATAAAATGTTTCTACTAAAAATTTTAAATGTGAGGCTTTCCTGCAATTTGTTCACCCTAATCAGCTATAATTTGATATTTTGGGCTTTCGTTGGGTAGAGAATCCTCCTACTTAAATATCAATATTGGTTCCTACTCCGAGATTCCAACTTGAGCGTCTATAATTTGGAACATTACATTTCAGAGCATGAACTACCAACTATTACATAATCCAATAACATAAATCCCCATACGATTTGACTACAGACATGTCACTTCAAAAAATAACCTGTAATAGTCCCAAGTAAAGATGTAAATATTTTTTCCTGAATTTAGGGAACCTAAACCTGTGTCACCAAGGATTTTTATCCTCAACAGGAATTTCCGACCCAGGTGCAATGAGCTCCATTTTGTCGCGTAGTGTAAATTATAATATTTTCAATTAATTACACATTTTGCATAACAGGCTGACAAGCCCCCCACAGACGCAGGTCTTTGTACGGATCATATGAGTACCGAGCCAAACAACAATTGTGAGCGATGAGATATCCAACCTACTCCGACCGACAAACTATAGATTTTAACAATGTCAAACCTTTAAGCGTAACACATCTAGAAATGAGGTTATGAGCGGAATAACGCGACGACTGGAAAGCACACAAACATATTATTTGAGACGCAAATTATGATAAAACCAAGAACATTTTAAGGATTAACAAAAACGGAATCAGCAGACTGACAAATATTCTCACAGAGAATCTCAGAATGCGGACACATTAACACTAAATTGGGTGCGTCCACATACTATTTGCAGAAGAATGTTTTGGTATAATACATTTACTTTTGCAACAAAATAAAGCCAACAGAGTTAATAATTAATAATGTTTCTGGAAATGCTTTATATTTATTTTCCAATTGTCAAGACACTTTTGATTGTAATTAATTCGATATTTTTAAATTCTCCTACAATATTATCAGCATGCCCCGAGGAATTGCCCACGGTTTTCAAGACTAATATCATTAAAGTTAAATGCAAACAATGACACTTGTATTCCATAGTAACACAATTTATCTTATTAATCAATGAAATTAAAGAGAGAGAAAAAGCAAAACGTGTATTGCCGTAGGAAACTGTGTATCTCTCTGACCGTTACCACAAATGGGCTACACGTTTCATAAGGAAAAAAGGATGCCGCAACATGTTTTTATCCTTTTTCCAACGAAAGCTACAAAATAACGGAGTACTCAGATACCATTAAATTGAGATTTGTAACGGTTGTGACCATTTAAGAGTAGATTAGTTACAAAAGTCTTGGCAAAGGCGAAAGATATTCATTTAAAATGGATAAGTGATACCAATTGTTGAGCGTTTTCCTTTACACTGGTTTTACTTTACAAATACATACATTAGATAATGCTAATAATTTTATGTAATCATAATATATATTTTTTCTGCATTCTCCGCATTTTCATAGCATTTTGTTTAAAATCAATTAATCGATTTTATTAAGGTGTAATGGTATTTTTGATGAATAAATGATGTTCATATTTTCAAAAAATTAATTCATATTTATATATTTTTCTTAATTCTATCCAATGCTTTTGTACATTTTCAATTTACTTTATAATAAGAAATTAAGTTTAGTCAAATAAAAAAAGGTAAGGAAAGTTCAAAAGTTGGATTGGGCCCTTCACCACTATGGGTACATACAAGAGGCGCTAATATAGAACATACATATCATCTTTAGAGGACCTTTGAAATAGAATATTTGAACCTATTACAAAATTCCATAGACATATAATTCTGAAATCTATGAAAAATTCCATAATTAATTCCATGTAATTATGCAACGGCGACATAAAATCAAAAGAAATATAGGGACTTTGGTGCACCATTTACATAAAATCAGACGTATATATATATATATATATGCAAATCAAAAGAAATGTAGGGGCTTTGATGGTCCATTAACATAAAATCGGAAGAAAATATATAAATATATGTCAGCTATATCTAAATCTGAACCGATTTCCAAATTTCGTCCCAATCGAAAGATATACAGGGACTTTAGTACAGCATTTACCTTAAATCGGACGAAAATAAAATATTTATGACAGTTATATCTAAATCTAAACCGATTTTCACGAAAGTTAGCACACATCATTCTTGACTCAATTGACGCTACGCAAATCAATTGAAATGTAGGGGCTTTCGTCGCTATTTACATAAAATATACAAATCGTATCATAAATGCGACTTCTATTTTATTGACAAAAATACATGGACGGACAGACAGACTGGCATAAATCTACTCAGAAAGTGATTCTATGCATATTCTATGCAAATTTATAGTGAATAGGTGTATCTTTTAATTTTAACTAATTATTTATATTGTTCCCCTGTATACCATTCATTACATTAAAAGCTATTTATGTTCTATTAAATCGCCCAACTATTTCGCCTAATGGAATAATTAATTCGATTTTGGTATGCGTATATATTTTTGAACAGACAGTTCATTTTGTAAATGAATATCATTAGTACAATGCTTCACAATTTGTTATCTGAACATTAAACTTAATGAATAGAGTGTATGTCGATTTAATATATGTGATTACATTTATAGATTTTACGCATCACCTGTTGTTGCAGTTCAAGTTTTCCCACTGTGTTATAATGTAATAATGATGTTATCAATCATATCTCACTTTCACTACGAATATATCAACGGAAGCTCCGAATGGATATACGGAGTTATAGACTTAATTAAATTATTACGTAACATTTTTAGATAACGTCAATAAAATAAATCATATTTACGATCCTGTAATCAGAATAAGAACAACCAAATATTATATATAGAAACAGGGAAATTAGTTCGTTATATACAATGTAAGAAAAAATATATGCTTAGCTGAAATTGGACGAAAATTCAGTACGCTGTGCAAAATTTTGTCTCAATTGGACAAATATTGAGAGTTTGGTGCACCATTTACACAAAATCAGACGAAACTATATATATATATATATATATATATATATATATATTTCAACAAAATTTCACGGTTGTCAACTTGCAGTAATTTCAGTACGCTGTCCAAACGAACATATATATATGAGAGCTATACCTAAATCTGAACCGATTTCAACAAAACTTCACCGAGTTCAAACTGGAAAATGTTGTCTCAATCGGACAAATACTGACAATTTGGTGCTCCAATTATATATAATCGGACGAACATATATATGAGGCCTATATTTAAATCTGAACAGATTTAACAAAACCTTATTGACGCCACCTTCTAGTAATTTCAGTACCCGATGAAAAATTTTGTCTTAAGCTTTATCTAAATATGAACCGGTTTTTTCCAATTTCAATAGTGTTCTCCTTGGTCCAAATAAGTGACCTGTGCCAAATTTCATCCAATTCGGATCATAAATGCGTCCTGCACTTTGTTTATAATTTAATATGGACAGACAGACAATGCGTAAATCGACTCAGAGGGCGTTTCTATGTATATTCTCCAATGGAATAAACATATGCACAAAGACATAGCACCCTGTACCACAGTGTGGTGAAGGGTATAAAGAAAAGGAATACACCTACCTCTGTTTTTACACGGTAGACTGGTTTCAGAAAAAGCCGTGTAAAAAAACTGTAAAAAAAGACATTGATCTTATACAAAAATGGGTGATTGGTTCCTAATCTATAAAACCTATTAAAATTAGTGAAAAACAAGAATTTTTAAGAACAAGAATTCATATTTATTTTATTAAATCAAATATATAATGCTTATTTTCACAATCATAGTAATTAATGATAAAAAAGATCTGCACTCTAATCTTAAAAGTAATATAAATTAAATGTATGGGATGTTCAGGAACTAAAAAAACTATGTTGTGAACGAAAAGAATAGGTTATTCAATATTTAAGGTAAAAAATAAAATAGAATAAGTGATTATCATAAATACAACAACATAAATTTAATTGCTGTCGTCATCAGTTATTCGCATTCGATTGCTTCGAACGCGTATACATTCACTATCATCGCTGGACTAATTTTGAACTGGACTTAACTCTGTTATGAGCCGTTGTTCGCCAATTCTTGCTACCTCTTTGTATAATTCCTTGTAACAAGCCATACAAGAATTCAGCTCGCGTTGGAATTGTGCAGCTCTTTCGACATTGGGATCATATTTGACGAAATGGTGTCCTAATTTTTTTGCAAGTTGAAGCCCTTCTTGAATTAAATTTTCAGTTAATTTTTCAGGTTCTTCACTATCACTGCTTTCTATAACATCAGCATTCTGTGAGGCAAAATGTAATATTTCGTCTTCGCTAAGAACTTTATCAATTATCAATGTCATCTAATACCAAGTCATCAAAACCCTACCCACCAACTGCGTGTGCTAAAGCAATTATATTGAGATATTCGTTTGTATTTTTCTCCACAGGATTTTTACTTTTTACACAATCTGGCCAAATTGCTCTCCAACATCCGTTTAAGGTTGATGGTCGTAAATCTGACAATGCTAAAGCAGCATGTGTAACGCAATCTTTGATAGAAAACTTTTTCCAGGCATCAATTACTGTTAGAGTTTTATCCCTATCCAAAGTGCCCAAAATGTACTGGAATGTTCGTTTGATATAATATGTTTTGAATGTTGCGATAATTCCTTGGTCCAGTGTTTGGATTAGGGGTGTGGTATTTGGTGGCAGGAACAAAACTTGTACATTTTCGGGAACAACTCTAGTTTAGTAAAAACGATCAGATTTTTCTGAAATTTTTTCTAGAGGTAGATATTTTTACCCTAATTATTGGGATATCGTTTTTTCTTGGGGGACGTACCCGGTTATTTGACCCGGGGGACGTACCGGTTACCCGGTTATTTGACCCGGAAGTTCGGGTACGGGTACACGGTTATATCCGGTTCTACGGATCCGGTTAAAATGATATATTAACCGGATCCGTAGAACCGGATACAACCGGATACCTGTACCCGAACTTCCCCAAGAAAAAAAGATATCCCCATAATTAGGGTAAAAATACCTACCTCTGAGAAAAATTTCAGAAAAATCTGTTCGTTTTTACTAAACTAGAGTTAAGCCCATTTTCGTGTTCCAACGGAGGATGCCCGGGTGCGTTGTCTACCAACAGAAGAACTTTAAATTGTAAGCCCTTTTCATTCAAATTTTTTCTAGTTCTGGCACAAAATTTTTAATGCACCAGTCTGTGAAAACTGTAGTCGTCACCCATGCTTTTTTATTGGCCATTCAATTAACCGGCAATGTATCAAAATCGACACCTTTCATTGCTCGAGACTTAAATGTACGATTGATAAGCAGGGGCTTTAAAATCCGATCACCAGAAGCGTTACTGCACAATAAAAATGTGACTCGATCTTTTTCAGCTTTAAAACCCCCAGCACTTTTTTGCGATTGGGCCACATATGTTCTTCTCGGCATTTTTTTTCCAAAAAAGACCGGTTTCGTCAGCGTTAAAAACCTGATCTGGACTGTATCCACCATCCGCTATTATTTTTTAAGTTTTAGTTGGTATTCTTCGGCGGCTTTCTGATCTCCAGAAGCAATCTCGCCCTTGATTTTTATGTTATGAAGCGCATGCCTATGGAGAAATCTCCTCATCCAACCTGTGCTTGCAGAAAATTCGTAGCTCTTCTCAGCAGTTGTTTGTGGGGATGTAGACGGTTGTTCGTCTTTTATCATTTTACAGAACCTTAATGCTTGCTGTTTGATATTGTTTCCGTCTACGGGAATTCTTTTTTGAGCATTTTCCTCCAGCCATATTATGAGTGCTTTTTCCATTTTTTCTTTAACAGCGTCTCTAGTGTGTGATGAAGACTTAACAGATAGGTTCGTTCCAGAAATCACCGTTTGCCTAATTGCAATTTCATTTTTCTTTATAGTTGTTATTGTGGCTTCAGTTAAACCGAACGTTTTACCAAGAGCAGTTGAGCCTTCTCCATTTCGAAGGCGATCTAAAATTTTAATCTTGGTTTCCAAAGAAATTGCCTTCCGTTTTAGTTTTAGTTTTATATCTGACATTTCCTTTTAGGGATACATAAAATATTTAACAAAATTAAAAAAACATAAATAATTGAATAAATACAAAATATTTTTTGGCTTACCTTTTATCTTAATGCGTTAAAATTAAATTTAATGGAAAATCAAATTTGCCTGCAAAAAATGTCTTTTCCAAGCACGTCTTATTGCATTGACAGTTCACAAAATATTAACACGTTTCAATTGCTCTGACCAGTAAATTTTATTGTATGCACATAAAGGGAATTCCCCTATATTAGTGCAGAATGCTCGCGTTGAACCATCCGTCGCGTTATATGTTATCGAAAATACAACAACCACAAGGAAACGACATGCGTTTGTGTTATCGTTTCCTTGTGGTTGTTGTATCGATACTATCGATGGTTTCAGACTTTTTTCTTTCATAAATACTTTTTTGTGATATGAACATACTTCGCAAAAAATAAATTTGACAAGAAAATTTATGTACATAAAATTTAAAATCGTGCTAAATGGAAAAAATCGTGTAAAAAAATTAAAAATTTTCAATTTTCAAACCGTGTTATATCAAAACCGTGTACAGAAAGACCGTGTAAAAACAGACTTAGGTGTATATTATGTGCATTGGTCGCAAAGCGCACGACACATAGCAGTGAGGAAAGTATGAATTTTTTCACATGCCTTGTTAACCACGATGCCAGATACCAACGAACTTCACAGTGAGGTGATGTCATAAGTAACGTAAGTACACCTAATTCTGTTTTTACACGAATTATATTTACACGAATTTGAAATAACACGAGTAAATACGAAAAAATATTTCTATTTTTACACGACATAATTTGAAATAACACGAATACAAAAAAAAAAAACAAAATTACTTTTTTTACATGAACTATTTATTTATTGAAGAAAATTCTGGAATGCTTTTGCTCAAACATCCCTGCCTTAATTAGAGTAACAACCCTGCATGGCATGAATTTCTGATATGACAACATTTTATATAATTCTGGTGTGTGTTCTGAGTTATGTCTATGTATGCGTAATTTCTGTTTTACGGGAAATGCGGGATTCCCCGAATTATTGAAAAAGTAAAAATGTACATAATGTATTGTACACACAATTTAGTTCCTATTTGACAATTATAATTGAAAGATCGTTAGTTTTTGCTGATTTTTAACAAGTGCTAAGTATAATAAAGTAGAAGCTCATATAATTTTGGTAGACCAATAACAGCTTAGTTTCAAATATTTAATTTTAGATTTTTGCATTTTTGATTAATAAAATATATTTTGGTAGCCACACCCATGTTACAAAATTCTCCTGCATTAAAAATGAGGAAAGCGATCAGCTTAGATACCAAAATCAAAATTTTAGATCAACTTGCAACGGTTGTGGGAAATAATTTCGGAATCCATGAAGCTACTGTAAGAACAATTAAAAAAAATATAAAAAAAACTGCAATTAGAGTATCAGTATGTTCTGGAACAAAATTAAGTGCAAAGTCATCATCGTATGTAAGGGATGTTGTTAAAGAGAAAATGGAAAAAGCTTTGGTAATCTGGATAGAAGACAAATCCCAAAAGAGAATACCAGTAGACGGACTTGCTATCAAGCAGACAGCATTAAGAATCTATAAACGTATCCAGGAAAATTGATCCAGATACATCATCTCAGTCAAAACAACATGCATTTTCCGCAAGTACTGGTTGGATGACTGGTTTTTTAAAAAGACACGCTCTCCACAATATAAAAATTAAGGGAGAAACTGAACCCGCTGATGAATTGGCTGCTAAAGAATTTCCCGAAAAACTCCTAGTACATCGTGCCTTAAGACCACGTTCCATGAAAAGTGTAGATTTCAATAAATTGCCTGTACACTGGATGGCGAACAAAAAGGCTTGGGTAACCAGTGCAATTTTCACAGAGTGGTTTCAGAAGCACGTCATCCCAGAAGTTAGGTGCTACATGAAAGAAAAATGTCTCGAATTTAAAGTTCTTTTGATTCTAGACAATGCAACAGGCCATCCAGTTTTGGAGCACCCAAACGTACAATTTTGTTTTTTGCCGCATAATATCACTTCCCTTATACAGCCACTAGACCAGGGGATAATTGCTACGTTTAAAACGTATTACATAAGAAATTCATTTCATTATGTTTTAGAAAAACTTGATAATTATGAGGAATCATCAGTCATAGATGAATGGAAAAAATTTTCTATAATGGACTGCATTAATCAAGTCAAGATCGCGTTAGATTTATTAAAGCCATCAACTTTGAACTCGTGTTGGAAAAATATTTGGCCAGAATGCGTAAAATGCAAAGATCCTGTTATCGATAATAACGCTGAACTTGCTGATATAATAACAATGGCCAATGCAATCGGTGGGGATGGATTCGATGACCTATCGTTAGCAGATGTAGAAGAATTGTTGGTAGATGAAAGCTTGAGCGAAAATGAAATTATAGATCTCACCCTTGAGACTCGTTATGATAAAGAACATAGTGACAGTGACGAAAGAGATCGTGCAATTTTGAAAGCATCTCTAATTAAAGAAGGTCTTGATCTCGCTACAAAATTAGGTAGTCATTTTGAACAACATGATCATGACGAGGAACGAGCTGCCAAATTTCAACGTGAACTGAAATCATTAATGGCATCTTACAGGGAAGTTTATAATGGGTTAACGCGAAATAAAACTCAATCTAAGATAACTGATTTCGTTCAAAAATCTACTGATGTCCCAACACAGTCGGCTAGAAATGATAATGATCAACAAAATCATTCCAGTGATGGCAGTGCTATTGTAGTCTTTCGCAAACGTTTACGTTTATTACCAGACAGTGACAATAAATAAAATTGTTTAATGTTTAAATTTTTCTTATAGTTCAACTTTATGCTATTTAAGTTTTTTGGCAATGAATTTCTGGTATTATTTTTTTATGAAATCTAAATTTTAATTTATTTTGCTATAATTTAGTTTATTTAATAAATTAAAACGAAAATAAATTCTTAAAATAACTACAACAATATTTTTTTGTATTATTTAGTCTAATTTTAACTTATTTTTTGAGGTCTAGAACCAATTTATTATTTTTGTACTTGGCCAGTATCTTTTTTACACGAATTTCTCGGGAACCATTCTATCGTGTAAAAACAGAATTAGGTGTACTTCGATTTGTTTTTAGTGACGAAGCTATGAAAAGTTCTGGGAAGAATTTCCTTAACAACAACCAAAAATCTGAGGAACTGATGAGAATCAGGGGCGAGATCCAAATAGTCTTCCCTGTCTTACCACCTGGTGTACAATACCATACAGTTCCCACTACTAAATAGTTATTTTTATAAAACAACAAACTGGGATTACACCTGACTATTTTGCAATAACAATTTAGTTTTTACAAATATCCTTTATAGAGATTTGTAATCGGTTTAAAGAGCCATTTGTTTGAATAAGAGACTGAGACTAAAATAACTATATCTATAACAATAATACATTAATTCCAATAATATTAGCAAGTGACCTTGTATGTACATGAACCAATTGATTTATTTAGTTAGTTTTCTCTATAAAAATGAATTGTGAAGTTTTCAATATAATATAGTTGCTTAGTACGGATGCAAATATTTCCTATACAATTTCCTGTTATACTTGAGTTTTACTGGAACATTAATTACATTTAGTAATATTGCTTAATAGCTAATCATATTCCATTTGGCTATAAATCCATTAAAGACTGACATATAAAATATAAAATTAAAAATGTTAAATATTCTTATAATATGTGGTAATTTTAGTACAGATTCTAGAAATCCCTGCTTAAATCATATAAATCCTTTTCGAATTAATATCAAATCTTAGTATTCAAGTGGGATAATCGTTTTAATGACATCCATTCAAAAACAAATTTCTAATGAATGACGAACAAATAAATACGTAGACATTTAAAGGCATTGACATTTGGAATTACGTAGGCACAGCATGACAATCCTTGTTGTTTGTAAATGTATCCAAATGTGAAATGAAAATATAACAATGGTTCATAACAATAACGTCGAAAAACAAATCCAAGAAAACTGTTCGCCATATGGTATTTGTTATTATTGCTGCTGTTAATAATGACGATGGCGCTACAAATGTCTGACGCATCGTCATTGAATAAAAGAATAATCAGTCAGTTTTGCCTGTTACATTTGTCATACTGATGCCTTATTCGTGTTGGTGTGGCTAGACGATATATTAAATTCTCTGAGGATTGCAACATCTCTATGTTGTTGTCACTGTGATGTCTCATATGTTTTTCTGGGTCAAATTTCATTCATTAGAAGAAATACAAATATATAAAGAGTTTCATAAATGCAATGTAATCTTTATATAATAAATGTAATCTTTGTATAATAAACAAATAAGAGCAATAAAATCAATGATGAAATGACCCTACACTATTAGAGCTATACAAAGGGGTAAAACCTGTACACTTGGCAAAGACATGGATAGACAATTTTTGACAAAAACAAAAAAAAAACAGCAAGGAAAGTTCAAAAGTCGGATGGGGCCGACTATATGATATCCTTCACCAATTTGGGTACATGCAAGACATGATAATATCTACAATATCCTGTAGATAGAACAGTCATAGAATCTTTGGAGGACAATTGAGATGGAATCGTGCGAAATTAAATGTGTTATCTAGATAAATATTTGAACAAATTAAAAAATCCCATACACATGCCATTCTGAAATCAATGCCAAAAAATAAATTTCTATGAAAAAGAAGCGGTTTTCTAAATCTTTAAACCGAATACTCTGATATTTGGAATAACTATATGTGTTTTTGGAAATAATTCGGTCGAATCCGAACGTTCTATAC